TTTCAGGATTCCTACAGCTACGACCTTTACAGGGTTGTGACTCCTACTTGACAGATCTACAGATCGAACCCCTACCAGTAAACAGACCTATGACAGACAACAACAACTCTCAAAACACAGGTCACGGATTCAAACACTCGGGGTCGACACAGATACTGTACACAGGTAAAGTGAGGACTAGGGATCGAGCCCTGGGACCTGCATCCGCTACTGCTAATAGGTGAATACCGTTTCACTTTCGTCGGCCTAAATTTGAGGTCCTCCGAGAATAGTTCAGTCTAAGGCAGGACCTTTTCCCTTCCTTTCTCTCTCGTAGGCTCTCACTATGTCGGGAGCTGATTCTAGAAGTTCAGTCCTAGTAAACCAGCGATCGTCCTCGGGTTCCTCATATGCAAATCCAACCTTATACTGTTTCTGTGGAGTAAACCAACAATCGTCCTCGGGTTCCTGATATGCAAATCCAACCTTGTACTATTTTTGTGGACGACCTCTACCTCCTGTTCTGAATACGTCTTCACCTACAATGCCGTCAATGTCGTATCTTTCGTCCATGTCCGGAGGGATCCCGCAGAGGGTTCCCGCCACTCAGGTTTCTTCCGCCTCGTGGGCTAATCACCCACCGGCTCGCATGCACGTTGAACTCCTCGGTCCGTGTTTCAAGACGGGCAGGATAGAGGAATCATGGGTCTTCTAGATGGAAACTGTTGGCTTGTGATACATGGCAATAACTTTGACGCATGAAACACGGGGTAGGTGTGGAGGTGTGCTGGGATTTCTACTGTGTAGGACGGTCCATCCTCTTCGCTCTTGACTTCTAGGACTGCCCACGGTTCTCTGTACGCTGGTAATAGCTTGTGTGAGATGTTCTCCTCAGGAGCAAATTCTTTAGACTTGACCCAGACCAAGTCGCCTACTTGAAACTGCGATGGGCGACGGTGCTTGTTGGCTTGCTCTATCATCCGATGTTGGGCCTTCCTGAGGTTCTCTACAACGGTAGCTAATTCCTTCTCGTGCTGAAGTACAAACTCCCTAGTTCCGGGGGGTAGCCTCTGAATCTGGTCCCGGTTAAGCCCTTCAAATGGTCTACGTGGTTTAAAAGACTTATGCAACTCGTTGGGAGTGCGACAAGTAGCTAAATGCACGCTATTGTTGTATGCACTGGCTACCTTTGGGAGCATCTCATCCCAATTGACTTGATCCGGTTTATTGTACATACGCAAAACTTGTTGCAGATTCTTATTCATTTGTTCAGTCTGACCGTTAGTCCATGGATGACGGTCAGATGACATCAACAACTTAGACCCATAGACTCTCCTCTCATCAACTCCTGCCAGGTCTGACTAGTGAAACGGGTCTCTATCACTAACTATAGATAACGGAATCCCGTGTTCACTGACCCAATGATCAAAAAACTTTTGGATGACTAACTCTGTGCTTGCCTCCGCAGGCAACGAAACAAAAAATGCATACTTGCTAAATTTATCAACTATAACCACGACTTGGATCTTGCCGTGCCTACTCTTGACATGGGTGTCCATAAAGTCAATGGACACTGAGTCCCCCGGCTGGTCAGGAATAGGCAAGGGCCTGAGAAGACCTAGAGGGGCACGTGTAGAGGTCTTGTTTCTCTGGTAGACCTTACAACTGCGAACATACTCTATGCAGTCGGCCTTCATCGCAGGCCATATGTACGCGCGCATGAGGTTGGCTAGAGTTTTTTGCCAACCAAAATGTCCCTCGGTGTCGTGGCATTCCCCTAGAATCAGACTACGGATCTCTTCACTGTTAGGAACGCACAATCGGTCAACTACGTTAGTCTTCTCAAATAGCAGTCCATCAGTAGTGCGGTAGCCTGGTTCAGACTCTGGGGCCTCCTTTACTCTCTTGAGGAGGGCATTATAGATAGGGTCCTGCGCATACACCTCTCTAACTTTCTGTTGCGGGTCTCTCCCTATATCCAGATAATGAACTATCGCTCCAAAGTAGTCAGCTCTCCTACTCAGAGCGTCCGCAACTACATTGTACTTCCCTTTTAGTGGCTTGAGCTCAATATCATATCGGTCTAACTCTACGGCCCACCTCGTAAGCTTAGGTGTCATCTTGGCCTGAGTTTTCAGCCACCTTAACGTCTCGTGGTCTGAGCAGACTTTGAAGTGCCTCCCAAGCAATTAGTGCTTCCAGTGTTCTAATGCTTGCCTGAGAGTGTAGAGTTCCCTTCCGTAAGTGGATGTCGCTACCTTTTCCAAAGGCATCCTAGAAGGCATGAACTCTATGGGTCTATATCCACTGCCATTGTCTTGCTGTAATACAGCACCAAGACCATACTGGCTCGCGTCAGTAGTGACGACAAAAGGTAAGGACGGATCGACTACCTTAAGGACTGGATACTCTATCAATGCCTGCTTCAGTTTCTTCATGGCAGACGTGCAATCCTTGTCCCGCTTCCAGATTGTCTCTTTCTTTAGCAACCTGCGAAGGGGTGCAGCGATGGTGGACAAGTTTCTCACAAACTTCCTGTAATAGTTAACTAGGCCTAAGAACGACCGCAACTCTGTCAACGTGCGGGGCGTAGGCCAATCCCTAATCGCTCGCGATCTTGCTATCTTTTGGTTTAATGTCGTCTTCGCCTGAGACATGCCCTAGATACAAGACTTGGGTCTTTGCCCATTCACGCTTCTTTGCATTGATCTTGAAGTTGGCCTCTCTCAGCTCTTCCAAGACCTGCCTCAGATGACCCTCATGCTCCTGGAGGGTCCTACAGAACACTAGAATATCATCTAAGTAGACTACTACAAACCTGTCTAACCACGGCCTAAACGAGTCATTCATACAACGCCGGAAAGTTGCTGGCACGTTGGTTAGTCCAAAGGGCATAACTATAAACTCGTAGTGCCCATATCTAGTCCGAAACGCGGTCCAATACTGATCATCAAGATGGACCTCTATCTGATGATATCCAGACTTCAGATCTATCTTTGAAAAATACTTGCAACCCTGCACCCGATCGAAAAGATCATCTATACAGGGCAGTGGCTCCGCATTCTTCACTGTGATAGCATTGAGACCCCTATAGTCAATGCACATTCTAAGCTCTCCCTCCTTCTTGGGTACAAATAGAACAGGTGCTCCAAATGGAGACGAACTGGGCCTAATCCAACCCTTCTCTAGGAGTTCATCTAACTGCTTGCGCAACTCCTCCAACTCCCACGGGGACATCCTGTACAGTGCTCCTTTAGGAGTCCTACTGCCAGGCTCTATCTCAATGCGTACTCTTCCAGCAGCTTGGCAATAGCAGGATCTAAGGGTTTTTCCTCTTTATGCCCAGTGACCGGCCTAACGTAGGCTACAAAAACCTGTTCTTCTTGTTGCTCCTTCTTCACTAACCTCGCAAACGCAGGAGCGCTAAGGCAGCAATGTGCCAGGGAGTTGTCTACTCCTGACATATGAAAAAGACGGGCAGTCTTGACCCCGCCTGACGGGCTAGGGAGCCTACACTCATGCTCTCTCAAATTGAGTGTGGCCCTTGCTGCCTCTCCCCAGTCCATTCCTAGGACTATATCGAAGGGAAGGTTATCCTCTACGAGGAGAGTCAGGGAATGGAGAACTCTCTCCACCTTCCCATCTTTCTCTAGGCGGAAGTACACCTGGACTCCCTCTACATAATCCTCTACTCGCATTGTGCGATAATCAGCGAGGATACTTACTGTGGGGTCTGCTAACTTTTGGACTTTCAATCCCAACTTTAACTTTTGCAGCGCCTTTCAACTAATACAACTGCGAGTGGCCCCACTGTCTACGAGGGCCCCTACTCTGCTCCTAAAGACCTCTACGTCTACAAAGACTAGTTGTCCTCGACTTTCTTTCTTCCTCTTGGCCCAGGCGGGCATCCTTTCCTTCAGCTCGTTAGCCACTCCTGTGAGAGAGGTGCCTAAAGAGACTCTAACATTTGTAGTCTCTGGACAACTATCTAGGCACCGGCCGACAACCTCTGCCATAGGCGTATGTGGTGTGAGATTTTCCTGCCGGCTCGCGCTCGTTTCCCCACATGTTCTTATGGTAGGGGCAGTTGCAACCCCTCAGCCACTCCTGTGAGAGAGGTGCCTAAAGAGACTCTAACACATGCAGTCTCTGGACAACTATTTAGCCACCGACCGACAACCTCTGCCATAGGCGCATGTGGTGTGGGAGTTTCCTGCCGGCTCGCGCTCGTTTCCCGACATGTTCTTATGGTAGTGGGCAGCTACAACCCCTACCGGCGGCTGCCTTTTGACCCCTGGGCAGCCCATCGGGCCTCTCTATACTTTGGACAATATTTGATGATGTGGCCAGGGTCACCGCAATATATGCACTGCCCCTGGTCCACACGCTGTTGCCAAACGCGCTGGTCCAGGCCCAAATCTTCCCAAGGTCGGCCCTGTGGCAGACCTTGGTGCCAACCACTTCTCCTATAGGGTGACCTATTACCCCTATTTGGTGACCTATTTCCAGAACGATTTTGTGGGGGACCTTGACCCATGCCTCCCGCTTGGCGGTTTCCCTTGCCGCCAACCCCTGATCGCCCTGGGAACGACCACCTGAGGCCCGACCCCCTTGGCCCTGGCCTCTACCTCCTCCTTGCGGCCTCCCTCCGACCGCGACAGCAGCGTAAGTCCTCTCTTGGCCAGCGCTACTGTCCACTTCCTCTTCTAGTCCCCACTCTATCTGATCGTAGGGGACTTCATCCATACCACCCTCATCTAGCGTAAGGATCAGGCGATCCTTTGTCTTGACCTGACCCGAGATGGTACGACCTTTCCACTTTTTGCCCTTATGCAGGTCCTTGTGCAAGAAAGTGGAGACTGACATGGACCGCTTCCCTGCTCAAAGCATCATAGGTCATGGTAGGCTTCTGACTTTTTTCAAAGAAATGCCCGCGTAACTGTTCGGGCATAGTGCGGTAGAAGAGATTGACCAACCCGTCCATTACACCTTTGAGTGCCCTAGCACTCCATTGACGAGAATGGATGGTTTGCAGTTTATCTGAGGCTTTGACACTATAGGTCACGTCTGCAAACCGTTCCCTCAATAACTTAAGGAAATCTCTGAGAGGGGTGAGCCCTGAATATGCAACTAAGAGTCATCATTGCAATTGGCGGCGCGACACAGGGAACGAGTGAAGCTTGCTGCTTCCTCCCTAATATTCGCTTCACAGTTGTCAAAGTTCTCCTCCTTCTTTCCACTATAGGAGTTGGGAAATTTCACTTTGACAGGCTCCCTACGAGGACGTGCTTCTTCCTCCTTGGTTGCCGCCAACCTGGCGCCCTCTATGGTGCCCGTGCAATAACGCTCTGTGCTCTCTAGGCGGGCCTTCACCTCTGAGCCCACCTGCATCACCAACTCACGTGCAAAGTCCCTGAATCCCAGCCGTATAGACCGCAGGGCTATGTCCCGACTCCTAACAAATTCATACTGCTCTTCCTGGACCTGGGCCAGGAAGCTCTATGCTCCTTGCCATGACCTACACCTTGCCCAATAGGTCCGCTTGCACCTCCATCTGCGCTCTCTGTTGCTTTGTTTCTTCCAATTCTCTGGCCGCCTGACTCACTGCGTCCACTCTTCTTTTCCTTTCCCTCATCAGCCGCAACTTCCAGTCCATCCTCTTCTCATCTTTGATTCTCTGCCGCTTGAGTGGATCTTCCTCTGCATACCACTCTTTCATGGTCGCCTCCTGCTCTTCCCTGGGTACATACATTAATGCCTCCTCCTCTTCTCGCAGGGATAAATTGGCCACCCATTCCGTGATCTTTTTCTCCAATGGATCCTCCTTCACACCACTGGATTCCCTTCTTTGCCCGGTTCTTCTCCTCTCCAGCGGCTGCTCCTCTACTTCTTCTTCTACCTCTACCGCTCGAAGCTTTTCTTCCTCCTTTTTCAACCTCTCCATTTCTCTCGCCATCTCTCCCTCAATCTTCTTCTTCTTTGCCGTCTGTTCTTCCAGCAAGGCCTTCTTCTTGGCCTCCTCCTTCTCTCTTCTCTCTTTCGGGATGGCGGCGGCTTTCGCCTCCTGTCCTGCTGTGTAAGGGGAGGTGACTCTCCCCCTAACTGACCCAACTTAAGACCGACTCAATCTAAGGACCACAGGATTCGTATAGAACCATGCCAACTATGGTCTCTAGCCTGAACTCTAAACTACAACCGTCACTACAAAACCTATTGCTGATCAGGAGGCATTTAAGGAAATCCCCCATAACTCCTCAGGAATTCTTTAACGTCGCAGACAGGACGACGCGATCAGCAGGTTCTCTCAAGACTTAGACGGCCCGTTGTGCAGCCCACAACTCGGATTTTGGGCCTACCGTGCCACACCGAGCAGCCCGCCGGTCAGTACCGGTCCTTGGGAGGGTTTGTGTCCTCCGGGATAGTCGAGTCATCAGCCACAGCCTTTAGCCCTACTCAGCCCGTATGGTTTTGGTCAACGAGGCCCTATCCTTCATACACAGAGTCCTATCACCTGGACAGAAGAGACTCAATGCAGAAAGAAGAGACAGAAAGACTCAGACTCAGTAAGTACCATATGGTGAGTGCACATCCATAGTGCGAGGGGATAGGCTAAGGGTTTGGCGAGATTATACCAACTCCAGCTTGGTCAAAATCGTGGTCAACAGCTCTAGTCAACGGCTTGGTCAACACTTGGTCAACGCGGTCAAACCTTGGTCAACGCTTTGGTCAACCCTCTGGTCAACACCCGCTCAACTCTTGGTCAATACCGAAGTCAACCCTCAAGTCGGCTATGGCTGCCGGCACTTTCTTCCTCGCCAACTTCCCTTCTCTTCACCATCTTCACCTTTCTTCTATCTCGCCCCTTTCTTCTTCCTTGCTTTTTTTTTTTTTTTTTTTTCACCCTCGACTTTGTCTGTCTTCAACTTCGTTGTCCCTCCTTCCTTCTTCCCCGGCTATGTCTCCTCCTTCCTTCTTCGTCACTCCGTGTTCGAGCTCCGCGGCTATGGCCGCCACTTCCTCTTGGACCACACAACCAATCTTGTATTGCTCAGCTCTCTCTCTCTCTCTCTGTGCCGTTGCCTTCTGTGCAGGTACACGGCACCTTCTTCCGGAGCGCAGCTATGGCGGACTTCTTTCTCCGATGGTGCACTTCGGCTATGATGCAATCAGACTCGTTTTCAAACACACTTTTCACACATGTAAACAGTAACGCAGCACACTGGCGACATGCGCCCACTCAAAACTCAGAGATATGGTTTTCAGATACGAGTTCACTCCCAATTGGCTATGGCGACCTCAGCGCACAAACATCTCATTGTTCACATACACTGGATCACCCTGGGTATCCCACACGCATCACTCTAACACTCGAGCACACTCACACACTCACTACTAACTACAGCTATGGCAGCTATGGCTGCCTCTAGCCTATCGCTACGCTAACTCCTCCTCTCTTGCCCACTGCGTCCTCCGGGCTCATCTGCAGACCTCCTTGCACAAGTCGCTGTGGCAGCGCTTCCGCATGGCTCACGCAGGAATGAATGAATGGCTGGGCGCTGCCTCTTGATTTATACTTC